GTGTCTTGTGTATGTGTTATGTGTGCTGTGTGTTGTATATGTTTGTGTTGTGTATGTGTGTTGTATATGAGTGTTGTGTTATGTGTGTTGTGTACGTGTGTTGTGTACAGTGTGCTGTGTGTGTTCTGTGCATGTGTGTGTTTGTGTTGTGTGTGTTGTGTATGTGTGTTGTGTATGTGTTGTGTATGTAGTGTGTGTTGTGTGTGTTTGTGTTGTGTATGTGTGTGTTGTGTATGAGTGTTGTGAGTGTTGTGTACATGTGTTGTGTAGTGTGTGGTGTGTGTTATGTGTATGTGTGTGTTGTGTATGTGTGTCGTGAGTGTTGTGTATTGTGTTGTGTGTGTTGTGTATGTGTTGTGTCTTGTGTATTGTGTTGTGTGTGTTGTGCACCTGTGTGGTGTACCTGTGTTGTGTGTGTTGTGTATGTGTTGTGTTTTGTGTATGTGTGTTGTGCACCTGTGTGGTGTACCTGTGGTGGGTGTGTGTTGTGTATGCGTGAGGTGTGTGTGTTATGTGCATGTAGGTGTTTGTGTTGTGTATGTGTCATGAGTGTTGTGTATTGTGTTGTGTGTGATGTGTGTTGTGCACCTGTGTGGTGTACCTGTGTTGTGTGTGTTGTGTATGTGTTGTGTCTTGTGTATGTGTGTTGTACACCTATGTGGTGTACCTGTGGTGTATGTGTTGTGTAGTGTGAGGTGTGTGTGTTATGTGTATGTAGGTGTTTGTGTTGTGTATGTGTCATGAGTGTTGTGTATTATGTTGTGTGTGTTGTGCACCTGTGTGGTGTACCTGTGTTGTGTGTGTTGTGTATGTGTTGTGTCTTGTGTATGTGTGTTGTGCATCTGGGTGGTGTACCTGTGGTGTGTGTGTGTTGTGTATGCGTGAGATGTGTGTGCTATGTGTATGTAGGTGTTTGTGTTGTGTATGTGTCATGAGTGTTGTGTATTGTGTTGTATGTGTTGTGTGTGTTGTGCACCTGTGTGGTGTACCTGTGGTGTGTGTGTGTTGTGTATGTGTTGTGTCTTGTGTATGTGTGTTGTGCATCTGGGTGGTGTACCTGTGGTGTGTGTGTGTTGTGTATGCGTGAGGTGTGTGTGTTGTGTGTATGTAGGTGTTTGTGTTGTGTATGTGTCATGAGTGTTGTGTATTGTGTTGTGTGTGTTGTGCACCTGTGTGGTGTACCTGTGGTGGGTGTGTTGTGTATGCGTGGGGTGTGTGTCATTTAGGTGCATTTTCTGGGGCTGTGTCAGAACGTCACAGAAGGGTGTCTGGTGACAGGACTGTGTTTCTCGCCATCTGGGGGCTGGAGGCACCAGGCGCGGTGTGTGCTGCGGGCCCGCTGCCTGCCCTGTCCTCACAGGGCACCAGGGACGCGGGCGCGCCCGGGGGCTTCTTTGTAGGGCACTGATCCCGTGCCTGAGGGCTCTGCCCCGTGAGCCGCTTGTGTCCCAGAGGCCACACCCCCGTGCCACCCCCTTGGGGTGTGATTCCAACATGAGCTGGAGCGGGAGGGAGACATCCACAGACGACAGCACATGCATATACGTGTGTGACGCTGAACTTTACGTGTCAACTGGACGGGATATTTGGTCACCTGTGGTTCTGGAGGTGTCTGTGGGTGTGCTGGATGAGGGTCACACATGGGGAAACCCCAGCCTAGTGTGGGGGATGCACCAATCAGTTGCTAGAACATAAAGATGGGGTAAGGGGAATTCTCCTACCTGACTGCCTCGGAGGTACAATATCATTTTATGTATTATTATTATTTATTTTATTTTTCTTGCTGCTTTCGGACTCACACGCAAACCTTGGCTCCCCTGGGGCCCCGAGCCTGCTGGCCTGTGGAGTGGCGCTGCACCGTGGGCTCTCCTGGCTCTGCAGATGCTGAGACCCGTCAGCTTCCGCGTCCCGGGAGCCTCGTCCTTGAAATAAGGTGACTTCCATACCTGCACACCCCCCGTTGGTTCTGCCTGCCTGAAGAAGCCCAATACAGTGTGTGTGTGTGATGTGTATGCGTGTGGGTGTTGTGTGTGTGTTGAGTGTGTTGTATATGTGTGTTGTGTATCTTGTGTGTGTTGTGTGTCTTGTGTATGTGTGTGTTGTGTATGCGTTTTGTATGATGTGTGTGTATGTCTTGAGTGTGTTGTATATGTGTGTTGTGTGATATGTATCTTGTGTGTTGTGTATCTTGTGTGTTGTGTGATGTGTGTCTTGTGTATATGTGTGTTGTGTAAGTGTGTTGTGTGATGTGTGTCTTGTGTATGTGTTGTGTGTGTTGTGTATGTGTTGAGTGTGTTTGTATGTGTGTTGTGTGATGTGTATCTTGTGTGTGTTGTGTGATGTGTGTCTTGTGTATGTGTGTTGTGTAGGTGTGTGTTGTGTATGTGTTGAGTGTGTTTGTATGTGTGTGTGTGATGTGTATCTTGTGTGTGTTGTGTGATATGTGTCTTGTGTATGTGTGTTGTGTGGTGTGTGTTGTGTATGTGTTGAGTGTGTTGTGTATGTGTGTTGTGTGATGTGTATCTTGTGTGTGTTGTGTATGTGTGTTGTGTAATGTGTTTCTTGTGTGTGTTGTGTGATGTGTATCTTGTGTGTGTTGTGTATGTGTGTTGTGTGATGTGTATCTTGTATGTGTTGTGTATGCGTGTTGTGTGTCTTGTGTGTGTTGTGTGATGTGTGTCTTGTGTATGTGTGTGTTGTGTATGTGTGTTGTGTGATGTGTTTCTTGTGTGTGTGTTGTGTATCTTGTGTGTGTTGTGTGATGTGTGTGTTGTGTATGTGTTGAGTGTGTTGTGTATGTGTGTTGTGTGATGTGTATCTTGTGTGTGTTGTGTGATGTGTATCTTGTATGTGTTGTGTATGTGTGTTGTGTATGTGTGTCTTGTGTGTGTTGTGTATGTGTTGTGAGTGTGTGATAATACTCCCGTGATACTTGCCTTATTCTTTTCCCATTTACAAATAGAGCCATTTTCCACGTTACAAAGACAGGCAGCGTTATTTGTAGTCTTGTCAAAGCTGGGTAGACTGTGTCGTGATTGACAGCGAATGCCTCGCCAGCCGTAGATTGACTTCCCGTTTGCTGCCAGTGGAAGCAGAGTTGTACTGAGCATTCCTGTGTGTCGCATCTTTGCGTGCTTTTACCTTTTGATTTTTCTTTGCTTCGGCATTTTTCTTCCAATATGTTTTATTTTATGGATCCATCGCAGTAGCAGTACTTTCAAAAATACTCCTAAAAGCAATACATATAAACTTCCAAGGCCAAGTTCCCACATACAGACTTTTTTGTTGTTGTTGTTGTTTTTGTTTTGCCAGGCAGAGTGGACAGTGAGAGAGAGAGACAGAGAGAAAGGTCTTCCTTTGCCGTTGGTTCACCCTCCAATGGCTGCCGCGGCCGGCGCACCGCACTGATCCGATGGCAGGAGCCAGGAGCCAGGTGCTTTTCCTGGTCTCCCATGGGGTGCAGGGCCCAAGCACTTGGGTCATCCTCCACTGCACTCCCGGGCCACAGCAGAGAGCTGGCCTGGAAGAGGGGCAACCGGGACAGAATCCGGCGCCCCGACCGGGACTAGAACCCCGTGTGCCGGCGCCGCTAGGCGGAGGATTAGCATAGTGAGCCGCGGTGCCGGCCACCACATACAGACTTTCATAGGAAATGGGACAGAACCCTAGTCACACTTCTTGGCCCTCTCAGCTCATCGAAGAACATTAAAATGGGAAAGAAAAGAAAAAGAGAAAGAAAACGGGGTGGTGGTGGGAGTAGAGGAAAGAGCGGGTGTTTAGGAGGGAGACTGGTGGACAATTTCTCTGTAGCGAGCTCTCGTTGGACGGGAGGGAGGGTTGCTCATGCCACTTCCGGCCCAAACCCAATGACGGGGGTCTTCAAGCGGACCCTCGAGAGCTCACTGCGTTTCTCGCGGCTGAGTTGACGGTGGCCCGGGACCCAAGGCTTGGCTGCTCTGGTGGCAGCCAGAGGGCGGCTGCATCGGCATCATCGGCAGCCCAGAGTCTGCAGAGACCACCTTAGAGGATCCAGTGTGGGTCGGTGGGACAAGCAAGGCAGCAAGGTACTGCCCGAGAGGGCCACCTGTGCACGAGGGTCCTCATCGGAGAGGTCCTGGAAGGGGCCCATCAGGGCCTTCGGGAGGAATGAAAAAGACCTCCTGGAATAGAGACGCCTTCAGCCTGGTCCTGGGAACTTTGGGGGAGAAGTCAGCACAGTGGATCTCAGCAGATGGTGTGAGAGCGAGCGAGCGAGCGAGCAAGAGAGCAGATCCAAGCATCTCCCAGGCCCCAAGAACCCAAAGTTAGCACCACAGTGGCGTCCACTCAGATAGGAGCCATCTTATCGCTGTCACCCTCCTTCCCCGGGCATCCCAGCCGGCAGCTCAGGGGGGTGTGGGGAGGAGAGGCCATCTGCACCCAAGGCTCCCAAGCAGGAGAGGAGAAATTTCTGATGCTGGCTAAACCTGGTTTGGCCTCCTGATGCATCTTTTGAGCCAGGCATTCGGTACCTGGGTGTGAGACTGTGACTCCAAGCGACTCCAGGACGGTGGCGTTATTAGCAAGGGGGCAGAAAGCTGTGGGCTCTGCGCTTTTCACCCAGTGACAGCAATAACCCCCACCTCGAGCGCACTCTAAGGGAATGATGGGAGCAATAATAATAATAATAATAAGGCAGCCTTCAGTGCGAGTGCTGTGCTTGCTCAGAGCGCCGCAGGCGGGCGGGACCCTGGGAAAGCCCAGGTCTCCCTCCGGGCCACAATGGGACAGCCCCTCCCCCAGGGGACGGACCCTCTGAGCCCCAGAGTGGAGTCACAGGTCTCAAATGCCCACAGTAGATGAAGTAGCCCAGAAGATGGCATGTGACCCCTCCTGGTGACACTTGAGCAGCAAGAAGTGACAAGACAGCCGGCGGGTCTATATTTGGACTTGCACTTGGGGCAGGCCTGTGGCTATTTGCGGCCGGAGCCAGCTCGTGTTACCGTCCAGGGTCCGGCCCCTCTCCCAGGGCCCCGCTGTAAGACAGGCAGGAGTGGCCTGCGGGGCGTGCAGAGGTCAGCAGCAAGGAAAGCCTGTGGAACACGGATCTGGTTTTCCAGCGGAAACCCTGGACCCCTGAGCTCCAAGAAGCCCCCGCGGACCCGAGAATTAGCAGGCAAGTCTGGGGGTAGCTGCGTTCTTCCCAAGCATCCTGTGTCATCAGAAACTCACTCGCACAGGGGAGGAGCCAGGTGCCTTCCTGTGGCAAGATTCACAGGTGCGGACGGCGGGGTTGGGCCAGGTGTGAGGGACCCTGATGAGAGCAGGGAGGAGCCGGGGGTCTTCAGGGTGATTTCTGGTGCAGGGGTCCCCATTTGCTGGAATAGGCTGGCCCCCTGGATGTTGGTGTCCTCTGGCTATAGTATTGGGTGAGTGGATGCTTTTCTGTCTTAACCTGCACGTGCCTGCTGACAAGCCATGGCTTCACGTTAAGCAGATTATCACTGTGTTTCTATTGCTGTGCGTACGGCCTCCGCCTGAGAGAGCGCTCAGGTCTGAGCTGTGCCAGCAAAGCTGATTGGAGCCGTTTTTGCCTTGCTGTGCAGTTACCCTTCAGAGGGAGCTTCCTTTAGCTGTATAGCTCAGGAATCGCTGGGAGCTACGTGATGAACGTCTACACTGATGGGCAAAATCACGTTCACACCCTGGCGGGCTCGCTCACCTCTGGGGAGAGCATTCCCGGTTTCAGTACATTATCAGTGGTGCCTTGCCCCATAACAACATTTTTTTTTAAACTTCTTAGGGGACTTCTAATTAAAACACAGGGACACATCTCCCATACCAGATTGAAACTTGTGATTATTATCGTCGTTGTTATAACTGCCACCACCATAGGGCATGGAAGTGAGGTGACCCAGCCAGTATACCCAGGGTCTTCAAAACACTCATGGAAATGTGTATTTTGAAAAGCCATGCATGAGTTTCAAATGTTTTTTGCACCAAAATAAATTTATCATATAGATAGATAGATAGATAGATAGATAAAGATCTACTTATTTATTTGAAACTCAGAGTTACAGAAAGAGAGAGAGAGAGAGAGGTCTTCCAGCTGATGGTTCACTCCTCAAATGGCTGCAATGGCCAGGGCTGGCCCAGGCTGAAGCCAGGAGCCAGGAGCTCCATCCGGGTCTCCTCCATGGGTAGCAGGAACCCCAGTACCTGGCCCATCACCTGCTGCCTCCTAGGCACATTGGCAGGAAGCTGGATGGGAAGTGCTTATCTTTTAATTCCATTTTTCCCATGAACTTTTTGAAGTACATTTATATTCATTACAGACTGATTTATTACTTCTTCAAGTCTTAGTTTCATCATTTATAAAATGACTATTTAGAGGGCAGTGCTGAGGCACAGCAGGTCAAGCTGCCATCTGCAATGCCGGCATCCCATATGGATGCTAGTTCAAGTCCTGGTTGCTCCACTTCCGATCCAGCTCCCTGATAATGTGCCTGGGAAATCCATGGAGGATGGCCCAAGTGCTTGGGCCCCTGCACCCACATGGGAGACCTGGAAGAAGCTTCTAGCTCCTGGCTTCAGCCTGGCCCAGCTCTGGTCATTGCAGCCATTTGGGGAATGAACCAGTGGACAGAAGATTTATTCTCTCTCTCTCTCTGCCCCTCTCCCTTCCTCCCTCCCTCTAACTCTGCCTTTCAAATAAAAATAAACAAATCTTTTAAAGGCTATTTAGAGGCAGATATGTGGCACAGCAGTTAGGTTCACTCTTTGGGACACCCACATCCCATATCAGAGGGCCTCATTGGAGCCCTGGCTCTGCTTCAGATCCAGCTTCCCGCCGATGCACACACCCTGGGAGGCAGCAGGTGACGGCCCAAGCACTTAGGTCCCTGCCATCCACTTGAATGATCCCTGCCACCACCAGATTGAGCTCCAGGCTCCCGGAGTCAGCCCGGCCCAGCCTTAGCTGTTGTGGGCATCTGAGGAGTGATGGAAGATCTCGGTTTCTGTCTCTCCATCTCTCTGCTTCTCAAATCAAATGAAAATAAGTAAAAAAAAATTAATGACAGTTTATTGCCAATGCTTCTTGCTCCTAAAACTCTGATTCTATTAAGAAACTGAAAGTCTACTTTTTGAGAGAAAAATGTGAGTGTTCACTGTGGGATGTGTTGCAAAATTCCTACCTAAAATCTATTTTTAATGTATGTATTTGAAGGGCAGAGAAACAGAGACAGACAGAAAAACAGAGACAGCTCCAACCTGCTGGGTCTTTTCCCAGATGCCCACAATGGCTAGGACTCAGCCGGGCTGAAACTGGGATCTGGGAACTCCATCCAGATCTCTCACACGGGTGGCAGGAACCAGATTACTTGAGCCATCACTGCTGCCTCCCAGAGTCTGCATTGATGGGTACCTGGGCTTAGGACCAGAGTCAGGACCCAAACCTAAGCATTCCAGTAAGCGACACGGGCGTCTTAACCCCCAGACCATACACCTGACTCTGCAAGAGGCCTGCCTTGATAAGGCTGCTTTGTCGGGGGCTCAAAGAACAAAGGAAGGGATGGGAGAAAATACTCTGATTAGCATTTGTGCTAAACGGTTTCCTGGCTTCTTGCCCATGCCTGCCTGCCTGCCTTTTGAGATTTAATTAGTTATTTGAAAGGCAGAGTTGGAGAGAGACAGGGAGAGAGGGAGGTCTTCCATGCACTGGTTCACTCTCCAAATGGCCGCAGTGGCTGGGGCTGGGCCAGGCTGAAGCCAGGAGCCTAGAACTCCATTCAGGTCTCCCAGCTTCTGCTGCTGTCTTTCCACTGGCATTAGCCGTGAGCTGGATTGGAAGTGGAGCAGGCTGGACACGAACTGGCACTCATGTGGGATGCTGGCGCTGCAGGCAGTGGCTTATTCCAGCGCACCACAGTGCCAGCCCTTCCCATGTCTTTCTAACTGTTCAACTTGCATTTCACATCCCAGCTTTTCATAATGATTTATCAGCAATTCAGAATTCTGCTTATCTCTCTGTTGGTTCATATGGGAGTGTGAGTGGTATTTTTAGCAGGCTGCCCCTGCATCTGTAGGTGTGTGATTCAGCAGAAACCTCGGGTTGGATCCAAACTCATCACCTGACTGGCTGTGTGTCCAGCACCCAGCACAAGGCTTAGACACAGAGCAGCCCAGATAAATCCTTGTTAAGGAGCCAGCACTGTGGTGCCAGTTCGAGTCCCGGCTGCTCCACTTCTGATCCAGCTCCCTGCTAATGTGCCTGGGAAAGCAGCAGAGATGGCCCAGGTACTTGGGCCCTGCACCCACATGGGAGACTCAGAAGAAGCTCCTGGCTCTTGGCTTTGGATCAACTCAGCTCCGGCCATTGCAGCCATTTGGAGAATGACCCAGCAGATGGAAGACTCTCTCTCTCTCTCCCTCTCTCTCTCTCCCTCCCTCTCTCTCTCACTGTCACCCTCTCTCTTTCTCTAACTCTGATTTTCAAATAAATAAAGAAATCTTTAAAAAAAAAAAAATCCTTGCTTGGCTGGCACCGTGGCTCACTAGGCTAATCCTCCGCCTTGCGGCGCCGGCACACCGGGTTCTAGTCCCGGTCGGGGCGCCGGATTCTGTCCCGGTTGCCCCTCTTCCAGGCCAGCTCTCTGCTGTGGCCAGGGAGTGCAGTGGAGGATGGCCCAAGTGCTTGGGCCCTGCACCCCATGGGAGACCAGGAGAAGTGCCTGGCTCCTGGCTTCGGATCAGCGCGGTGCGCCGGCCGCAGCGGCCATTGGTAGGGTGAACCAACAGCAAAAGGAAGACCTTTCTCTCTGTCTCTCTCTCTCACTGTCCACTCTGCCTGTCAAAAATAAAAAAAATAAAATAAAATAAAGGGGGTCAGCAGTTGAGCTGGGTCTTTGCCCAATCAGCTGCCTCGCCTCTACCTGCAAGGACACCCGTTTCCTCTCAACTCCAGATTAGTCGAGGTGAGGTTATTGTATTTAATGGGGAGGGAACTAACAGTAACAGCAGCCAGCAGCTCACATTTGTTGAGGATTTACTTTGAGCCGTGCACGATGCTAAGGCTTCCGCATTATTCGGCAAATGCCAGCCCTCTGTTAATAAACCTGCCTTATGGTCCATGAAAATGGGCATCCAGAGAGATGATTTTTGCAGAGGTCACACTGCTAGGACATAGCAGGGGCTGGCTGTAAGAGTCCAGAGGGCAGGGGCCTTGGGGACAGATGAGGGTGGGGCAGAGATTCAGCAGTTAGAGACAGAACCAGTATTGACTGGTCACACATCAGACTGGGTGATGTTGAAGATGACCTCCTGGTTTGGGTGCTGGAGGGGGTGAGTTTCTCTCTCTCTCTTTTTTAAGATTTATTTATTTATTTATTTGAGAGGTAGAGTTACAGACAGACAGAGGAAGAGACAACAGAGAAAGGTCTTGCATCTCCTGGTTCACTCCCCAAATTGCCGCAATGGCTGGAGCTGGGCCAATCCAAAGGCAGGAGCCAGGAGCTTCTTCTGGGTCTCCCACACGGGTGCAGGAGCTCAAGCACTTGGGCCATCTTCTACTGCTTTCCCAGGCCATAGCAGAGAGCTGGATTGGAAAAGGAGCAGCCGGGACTTGACCCAGCACCCATATGGGATGCGGTGCTTCAGCTAACCCCAGGGGCCCTCATACCAGGTATGGCAGGCATTGGCCATGGCGGCTGGGTAAGAGAAGGTGTGGCTACCTGGGGAGTATGGAGCAGGGCGTGGGGGCAGGGGAGATGGAGGTGCTCAGGGTCCAGGGGAGCTGAGACTTGCCAGTTATGGAGCCATCAGAATGCAGGACAAAGGGGCTGGCCTTGTGCAATGGTCTAAGCTTCTGCGTGCGATGCTGGCACCCACATCTGAGCACCAGTCCAGGTGCCATCTGCTCTTCCGATCCAGCTCCCAGCTAATGTGCCTGGGAAGGTAGCAGAAGATGGCCCAAGTTCTTGGGCCCCTGCCACCCACATAGGAGACCCGGATGGAGTTCTTGGTTCCTGGCTATATTCAGCCTGGCCCAGCCAGGCCTGTTGCAGCCAATTGGGGAGTGAACGAGTGAGTGGAAGACCTCTCTCTCTCAGTCTCTCCCTCTCTCATTGTCATCTCTGCCTTTCAAATCAATAAAATAAGCCCCCACCACCACCAAAAGAATGCAGGACGTGCACACTTGCTACTTCTGCTGAGAAAGCCACATGGTGCCCGTGCGATGTCCTTGGCAGGGCCACCTGGGAGAAGCGCACTGGGGTGCGC